TACAGTACAGTTCTCGCGGAAGCTTTGGCTTTTGTGGCATCATTGTCGCCTACGCATGGCTTCATTGTCGCCTCAGCATTGCATCATTGTGGCATCAGCTTCGCGTCATTGAAAATTGAAGCTGTGTTCGCCTCGCTATTTTGTGGCATCATCATGGCCTCAGCTTCGCAGTCTCATGGCATCAACATGGCATCAACATGGCATCAGCTTCAACTTATTGTGACACGAGTATGACCTCATTATTTGCACGCAGAAGGGCAGTAGACAAAAACATGTACAGAAGTTCGATATGTAATCGATTTGAAATTCAAGGCGAATAAAATAATATGATCAAGAGTAAAATGACATTTTAAAAAGATATCTTGTTTAATTATTTTAGTGTTGTGAGTATTGGGCTCCAAAAACTTTGCGAAGTACATTACAATCGGCAAGGTGACAAGTTTCATATTGACTGGAAGGAAAATCGTGATAAATTCAAATCACACAATGCAATCGTCGTTCTGATACAACACAATTTGCTGTATACGAAGTGAAACTGTTCTTGTTATATAATTACCCGTTTTTCACTCATTTTATTTGCTGCTAGAAGAGCAGATTCAGATTCCTCATTTCGGTGGTATTTTTCTGTGTTTCGTTTAGTTTTAGCCGAGTCCGACCCCATGCCCGGACTACTAAAACACGCAATACACACATACGCCGCCTGGTGCGTCAGCGTCGTCGCCAGTCATCTTGATTGGCTACTCAATCTAACAGTCTGCCCAATCACAGAGCATATTACATTCCACAGATCCAATAATACTAATTCAATGCAATGCTATTACAAGATTGTACCTGATTGGCTACTCAATCTAACAGTCTGCCCAATCACAGAGCATATTACATTCCACAGATCCAATAATACTAATTCAATGCACCGCTATTACAAGATTGTACCTGATTGGCTACTCAATCTAACAGTCTGCCCAATCACAGAGCATATTACATTCCACAGATCCAATAATACTAATTCAATGCAATGCTATTACAAGATTGTACCTGATTGGCTACTAAAACCTTAACACCTAACAGTCGGACCAATCATAGAGCAGCTTGTTTATTGACATTTTGTATATGTGATTCGTATTAACTGTTAGACTTGTGGTTTTTATTATGTGTCCTTTTTTGTAACAGGAGTACTATGACCAGCCGGGTAAAATGGTTCAAATGCGTGCGTTACCAAATGACGATATGCAAGTTGGCAACTACATATGGAACCCTTATAACTGGGATCCTGTAGACTTATTACATGATTACAATACTGGTAAGTATTTACCTTACACAAGCTTTCTATAGTTTCACTATGTTTGTTTACAGGTATAGAATATATAATTGATACAGTGAATGGAAAATGTACAATAAAGCCAATATGGAAGTATTAGGGCAAGGATTCTATAGTTTCACTATGTTTGTTTACAGGTATACAGTACAGTTCTCGCGGAAGCTTTGGCTTCACTTCAGCTTCACCTTCGCTTCAGCATCGCATCATTATAGCATTGTTATGGCTTCAGCATCGCTTCAATGTCGCGACATTAAAAAGTTAGGCGATTATCGCTTCGCTTCATTGTGGCCTCATTATGGCGACAATGTGGCATCAGCATCGCTTCATCAAACAAAGAAGTACTGTGCTCATTTCCCCCAAACCTCTTGACCGCTTCCGCTTTTGACCGGTCAATTTCCGTTTTATTTTCGACCGTGCAACAATTCGGACTACTAAACATTTTCTGGTTTTCATAGATCACGGTTACTAGTTTAGTAACCGTGCATAGATGTTGAACAACCGTCAAAAGTTCAAATACTTTTTGTTTTAACTATCTATAATTATATGCACGCAATCTGACCCTTTGACCTAGATTTGGCTGGGATTGAATATTTTATTTTAGACAATATTCCGATGTGACTCACTGCTACAAAATGGTACAACATGGTTGTCTGGGTTTCTTTTCCTGATTGTGTTGAGTTTACGATTTGTATAATTATTGTTGTTTCCCCCAAGCAGAAGACAAGCCGAAGGACCATGAAGCTAAATAGAATTCCCACGCATGGACGTGGACTGAGTGAAAGAAAATATTTCTAAGGCTAAAATAAAAATGACCTACTATTACACATCATTGTGTATTTGTCAATTTTGTATATATTTGGTATGACCGAATGATCGTAAATACCTAGAAAAATCTCG